AGCAGCAGCTGCTGCTGCTGCTGCAGCAGCTGCAGCAGCAGCTGCTGCTGCTGCAGCAGGGGTCTGCAGCAAGCTGCATGCAGTGCTTTCAGCAGAATGCCCCTGAGGTGGAGAGAGGAGGGAGAGCCTCGCCTTTGCGACTTGTTTCCCTCCAGCCACACTTGGATTCTGCGAGGGTTTAGGGTTTAGGGTTTAGGGTTTAGGGTTTAGGGTTTGGGGCGTAGTTGTTTGGTGTTCGGTTGATACGCATAGAGTCTGTTGCTCCTCTAGATGCGCCACCAAGAATATCTATGCATCTGCTGCAGCTGCAGCTCCTGTAGCGTGCAGCAGCAGCAGCAGCAGCAGCAGCAGCAGCAGTGCACCGCAGCAGCAGCACATACAACGACCTAGTGTATAGGTAGCCCAAGTACAAATGGCGTGCAGCGAAGAATACAGATAAAAATAAGAGTGAAAGCAATAAAAACAACTAATAGTAACTATATAAATATAATAATAAAAGAATAAGAATAAAAAAATAATAAAAATAACAAACAGAAACTATAGAAATACAGTACTGATAAGAATAAAAAAATAATAAAAATAAAAAACAGAAACCAGAGAAATATAATACTGATAAGAGTAAAAACACTGAAAATAACAAACAGAAACTGGAGAAATATAATACTGATAAGAATAAGAATAAAAAAATAATAAAAATAAAAAACAGAAACTATAGAAATATAATACTGATATGAATAAAAAAATAATAAAAATAACAAAGAGTAACTATAGAAATATTCACTGAAGGACATAGCAGGGGGTAGGGGCGCAACGGGGGCCCATGTGACGCTTCAGCACTACGCGTGTGTGTATACAGGCGGCGCTGCTNTGCTGCTGCTGCTGCTGCTGCTGCTGCTGCTGCTGCTGCTGCTGCTGCCACTCTGCTGTTTAAACGATGCTGTTGCTTCTGCTGTTAGTGCCTTGTTCGAGTGGGGGGTGTTGCTGCTACAGCAGCAGCAACAGCTGCTAGTATGCTGTTGCTGGCAGCATGTGCACTAACATGTAAACTCCTGAGGTGTGGCTGCTGCTGCTGCTGCTGCTGTTGCTGCAGCGTGTTCTGTGTTTGCTGCTGCAGTTGCTGCTCTCTCTTCTGCTGCTGTTGCATAACATCTATGTATGTTCCCCTCTGAGCAACGAAAGCAAAAACCCTCCACCCTACAGAAACACACTAAACCTGGGGGCCCCAGGGTTGGCTAAGTGCCTCTCCTGGGGGCCCCAACGGTCTCAATAGGGGGGCCCCGATGCAGGGGCCCCTCTCACGAACTCAAAGGGGGCCCCCCAGCTGAACCCTCCCCAAATGAGTTGGATTCCCTCTGGGGTGCCTCTCGGTCTACCGGGGGCCCCTGAGGGCACCGGGGGCCCCAGCCCAGCGGTGCGTGGGCCCATACAGAGGGGCCCTAGAGGGTCTAGTGAAGGGGGGCCCCCTACATACCGCCCCTGCCTGCGGTGCAGTGAAACCTACAGAGGGTTGCTAAGGGGGCCCCTCTAGAGGCCCTCCACATAGGGGGCCCCTACAGGGGCCCCCACAAAAGGCGCCTTTGGGGGCCCCCAACGGGGGGCCCCCATAGGGTCCTAAAAGGTCTAGTACGGTGACTGGCTCACAATGGGCTGCCACGCGCGGTGCAGGCCCCTACAGAGGGGGCCTAGGGTCTAACTCTAACCTGCGGTCCCCCTCACCTCACGAAATATTATGCAGAAATACCCACGGCCGGCGAGGGGCCCCAGGGGGCCCCCAACTGGGGGCCCCAAGGGGGCCCCCTGGGCCCCCCCGGGGCCGCCGACCACCAGGAAGCTGCAGCTGAACGCTATTCGATGCAGCACAGGGGCCCCCATTTGCCTGTATTGTATGAGCCGGTTTGCATGCGGGTCTCTAGTAGCAGCGCTTGCATGCGCTGCGTGTTGGGGCTTCTGTGTGGCTACACACCGCGGACAGGGGCCCCGCGCGGGGCCTCCACTTCCACCGAAGGGGGCGGGGGCCCCCCAGGGGGGCCCCCACGGCAAACCCCAAGCGGGTCCTAGGGAACGACCCCCAAGGGTACAAATAATATACCAGCGGTGGTTGTGGGGCAGGGGGTGGTGGGGTTGTAAACGTTTAGGGGGTTTGTATGCCGTCGATGTATCTGCCTGGGGTGAGGAAAGGATGGTGGAGTAGCTGGTTGGCTGTCCACCGCTTGCAGGGATCTATCTGCAGCATTTTGCTGACGAAGTCGACGAAGGTATCGTCGGTGCAGCGGAGACGCTGGCGTAGGTTGGTGCGTTTGGGTACAAAGAAACGAATCATACGGCTGCTGCTGCTGCTGCTGCTGCTGCTGTTGCTGCTGCTGCTGGGGGGTGGCGGGGTGGGGCTGTGTTGCCGGGTTTGTCTGTGTTTCAGGTGGTCCTGCACCACACTGAGCAGAGTGTCTTCGGGGTGTCTGAGGTCGCAGCTGACGGATGGTTGCTGCTGCAGCAGCTGCTGCTGCTGTCTGTGTTCCTGTGCGTTGGATATATTATCTATGAATCTATAGAGAAAACCCTCAGGGTCTAGCAGCTGATGCTTGAGGGGGCTGCAGCGAGCCATGTAGCTGGGTATGGGCCCCAACAACCCCACCATTTTCGCTAGCAACGAGGGCACCGAGTAACACCCTAGCAGCATCTCTCCCGTCCATAGTTCATATACTATACACCCCAGGCTCCATATATCTATCTGTTGGCAATAGGGGAGCTCTAGCAGCACCTCTGGGGCCCTATAGGAACGAGACTGCGTATACACCACAAGCTCGTCGCTGCTGAAGCAGCAGTTGCCGAAGTCTATCACCTTCACACGAAACAGATCCAAGCAACTCCAATCAAACAAAGAACCGTTGCTGCTGCTGCTGCTGCTGCTGCTGCTGCTGCTGTTGGTGTTGTTGTCGCCGTTGCTGCTGCTGCAGATGCTGCTGCTGGTGCTGGTGGTGCTCGTGCTGCTCCTGGTCGGGTTGCAGCTCGTGGGTGGATGTGTTTCGCTGCAGCAGCCGTTAACTTGTCTGGTTGCTGCTAGTATTTTTTGTGTTTGTCTCTGCTGCTGCTGCAGTAGTTTTAGTTTTGCTGCTAGCGGGGCAGTGAATGCTGCTAGTATATTCTCGGGTTTCAGGTCCCCATGTATAATATGTAGACTATGTATGAACTGCAGCGCCAGCAGCACGTCTCTGGCTGCTCGCTGCAGCCTGCCTAGGGTCCAGAACGATGGCTGTCTCTGTCTCCTCAGTGTTGTGCTGAAAGTATACAAATCCTCATCTAGTAATTCTGTTACTAACACCAGGTGACCCCCAACGTACATACACTCCAACAAACGCAAAAAACGATGCACGTCAGGGTCACCGTTCGCCAGCAGCAAACGCAGCACTGCTACCTCGTCCAGAGATTGATCCAGAAACTCCTTCTCGTTCTTCATCACCTAAAACACCAGCAGCAGCAGCAGCAGCAGCAGCAGAAATAGCAGCAGCAAGAGCAGCAGCAGCAACAGCAGCAGCAGCAGCAACAGACGCAGCAAGAGAAAAAACATATATTAACGTAAATGTAGCGAACGGGATCTCCTTACTCATGTTGCTGCTAGTGCTGNAAGAGAAAAAACATATATTAACGTAAATGTAGCGAACGGGATCTCCTTACTCATGTTGCTGCTAGTGCTGTTGCTGCTAGTGCTGTTGCTGCTAGTGCTGCTGCTGCTAGTGCTGCTGCTGCTAGTGCTGCTGCTGCACCCATGATCACCAAGGCAGCAACACAACCAACAGCAGCAGCAGCAAAAGCAGCAACAACAGCAGCAGCAACAGCAGCAACCGCAGCAGCTTACCTTCAGGCAGACCCTCTTTCCAGTGACCTCGTCGATGCCCTGCAGGCAGCGCGAGAACGCCGCCGCCCCCACCTGCAGCACAATCCAAACCTAAACCCTAAACCCTAAACCCTAAACCAGCAACCGAAGCAAAACCCTCAGTCCGAAAGTGTAAACCCCAATCTCTAAACCCTCGACTCTGAAGCCCAGCCTGAGCGGGCCTCTCCGCAGCAGAAATATCTACACGTAGCCTGCTGCAGCAGCGAAGCTTGCTGCAGCAATGCAGCTTGCTGCAGCAGCAGCAGCAGCAGCAGCGACGGCTGCGAGCCCGCGAAAAGCAGTAGCTGCACCGTCAGCAGCAGCAGCACACGAAGCAGCAACAGCAGCAGCAGCAGCAAGAGGACCCACCCCGTGCTGCACCGTCAGCAGCAGCAGCACCACACGAGGCAGCAACAGCAGCACAAGCAGCAGCAGCAGCAGCAGCAGCAGCAAGAGAACCCACCTCGTGCTGCACCCTGTATCTACCACCGAGAAGGGTGCCAGCTGGCAACACCATTTCTTTGTGGCCCTCAGACCCCGTCGTGTTTCTTCTGAACACCACCTTCACATTGAAGCAGTCATACATCGCCGTACCCTGGGGGCCCCCTTGGGGGCCCCCCTGGGGGCCCCCCTCGGGGCCCCCCTGGGGGCCCCCATGGCTGCTGGGGGGGCCCCGCCCACGACAAGGCCGAGGGTACGCAGGGTCTGCTGAAGGAGGATAAGCAGCATGCGCGAGGGCTGCTGCAGCACGCCTCATCTGCTGCTGCCTGAAGCGTTGCTTGTCCCCATCGCAGTACTTCTCCTCCCAGGCTCGCGCTGCTAGGTACACCTCTTGCTGCTGCTTCTCCAGCTGCTGCTGCTGCTGCTGCTGCTGCAGCTTCTGGTTTTCTGCTGCAGCAGACGCAGATACTGCCTGCTCCTGCATGCCGCACCCCGCTAACTCATCCTCAGAGGATA